TTACCTATTCATTTATTTTTCTCTTGTTTTTTGAATCGTTCTTTTCTTTTAGGCATTTTCTATCTTTTTTTCATTGCATTCTACTACCGTCTTCTCCATTCCTTTTTTTTTTATCTGGTTCTTTCGTGATTTTGCTTTTCCGCTTCAGTGCCCAGCAGTCACTTTCTTTCTGTTGTTATATTTCTGTCTCTGTTTATCTTGTTTCCTAGCTCACTCCTCATATTCTTTCTTGCTAGCTTCTTTGTGTACCCTTCTTTTTATCTTTGACTGATTTGAAATTTTCTTTATATATATATATATATATATATATATATATATATATATATATATATATATATATATATATACATATACATATATATATAGTAGATAAATTAGACGATCGGCTTGTTATTTATATTATTCCATTTTTTCTCTCTCTTTATCTGACTGTGTGCTTCGTCGCGCCCGGATCACTGTACGCTCCTTGATTGCCGATGTGTCGTGATTTGATCATAATTGGCTCAATCTTGCCTATGTATGTAAACTCAAGTAATGTTCCCAGTAGGATTACGCAGATCATTTTAATAACGTTTATATACGTTTACGCTTTGTTTAATTCAATACAAGCTCGTTTTCCTACCAAAGCGTTTCCTACTTACATCCATACTATATGTGGAATTCATCTAGAATTTGAAGATTTCACGGCAAATATTACTTTTTACCAATGAGTGTCAAGTTCCCTGAAAAAAGAAATCCCTATTTCTAGCGGTATGAACACCAACTTCAAATTCACTTTTGTGCGTCAGTTAATTACCGATTTCGTCATCGCAACTGCGATGAAAAGTCCCAATAAAGCTAAATTTTAATCCGCCCCTCCATGAAGATCCAAAACACAGGTTTGGTTGAAATTACTGCATGCGGTTGTTCGCTATACGTTCTTTTTGCTCGTACACCAAAGCATTTACAATAAACTACAAACTTTTGTATGAGCCCTAGGAAGCAAGCAGTGGCGAGGAAGAAAGACAACAAACTTCGTGATTTGCTTGTTTGTGGTGGACAAATATGCCCAAAAAGCAGAAGAAAACATATTATATTCGATGCTGATTGGCCGAAGTTATGATGGATTCGAGCCCCTGAAGCAAAGCTGAACGAGAATTTTCACAATGAAATAGCCGGAACATCAATAAGGACACAGCGTTCATACAGAATGTTTGTGATGGAATAAATTTCTAACTTATGCTTTATCACATTTTGTACTTTTGGCCCCATTGACCGATGTAAGTGTAGTTCATTGACTATTCTCTTCAGGGCAGTGCTTCTTTGCGATAACATTTTATTCGACACTGCTAAGGGGTATCCTATGAACCAGACCTTGAAGTCCCACATGCTTTCACAGGTCTTACAGCGAACAATGAACAGTTAAATGTTTTCGTGTTACTTTATTTACAAACCTCTCGCGGGACATAGCACGAAGCGTTATCATAAAAAACGAATAACTAGGTAGATTGTTTCCTTCCGTCAAATACACATATGTTTCTTTCTTTAAGATGAAAATTTCTTCACTATTCGGGGCGCCCTTAAAAGTCGCACAGCAGGGAATTAGGACAAAGGACACCGCGATCAAAATCAATAGTGCTGATGTGTGCGATATATCAGCATTCGACGGATTAATTGTGCGGGGAAAAGCCTACGCCAAATGATGTTCTTCTGGATGTTCTATGGATCACCATATACCAAGCACTTAAGAGAAACAAACCGGGCTTCAAAATGACAAGCCATTTGATTTGAATCCCCTGACGGATAAATTCGTGCCCTCTTTTGTAAGGTTTGCAGTGCTGCCTTTATATCCGGTGCTACCAGCTACACTGAAAATTTCCGCTACCTTATGTCCAAACGGCTGTGTGTGCTTGAGAACTTCCTTGCACTGAAATGAGGACAGGAATTTCCGGCGCACTTTCTAGAGCATTGTGCATTTACCATGGTCCTAATTATTTGAATTGCTGGGTTTTTTATCCCTCAAACATGAAGTTGTGGTGTTTTCCTGTGGTCAACTCAATAATCTGGGCTCCTGATTGCAATAAAGCACTGAGCAAGATGTGTCGCAGATTTGTACTAACATATCATTTTATTTCTACTCAGATCTCCGGCAACGAGATATCGCGGGAACAAAGTATTGGTAGATCTTTACATCCCTTTCGCGATGATAATATAAACGATCAACGAGGCTTTCTCAATCGACTTGATGCGAATCGGAGCTCCAATTTTTGTAAAGTATGACGGCCATCAGTTCAGAGCATCTATAACAGAAAATTCCCAATTTTTGAAATCATTTCTCCTAATCTCTTCATTTAGGCACCCGATTGAAAACTGTAATGTCCGAAGAAAAGGTTTCATTCAGAACATTCAGGTAGTAACCCAGTCTCAGTATTACCCAGAATAATTTGTAAGGTCATGTTCAGATGTTTATTCAAACTTCCGCAACTTATCACTTTCGTTTCTTCAGAGCCGTTTACTACGGCAATCAAGATCACACATTACACTTAACGTACCGCAGCAAAGAATGACAGTAAACAAGGAGAAGCTTCGAAAAGAGTATTATTACACGATGGTATGTTTTACGGAATGAATTTTCTGCTGAGTTCCTCCAAGTGTTTTCGCTTGGATAGGTTGTCAAATGATCGGATGAATCACAGAAGTTATCCCACGAACAAGCTTTTAGGTGGTATGAGAACTTCGGGTCGAATGGATATGACGGTTTCACGCCCAAAAAGCTCAAGAATACTGTTGAAATTCCCTATCCTTGGTGCAGGTTGAGAATAATCCTGGGCACATTCTAGAAGTAAGATAGAGGCAATTCTTAATGCAGTTAGCATCGGGTGATATGAAGGCTGAATATTGCGACAAACAAAGAAGGGCAGGATTTAATTCACCAACCCCGTCATTTTGGAGACAGGTCTTTTTCTTGTAAGAGTGTTTCCTATATCTTGACCCGTGAAAGCTTCAGAAAATGTCATTCGACATAGGAAATTCTCAAGAACAATGATCACGCCGAATAGTGTTTCATCGGAATGAAACGTTCAAGTTTTTGGTAGCCTATAACTAGAGACATCTCGAATAGTGGGGAAACGTTCACGTTCATGGCTGAAAATGTCCTCGGATTTAGCAAAAGACACACGTGCTTGTTTTCGGAATAAAGTTTCATACTGTATTTCACGAGTGATTTGTAAATATATTTAGTTCTAATGATTTTTCACTTCATTAGTCGCTGTAAGACTTGTGGAATTATGGTTTCGTGTCTTCACCAAAAACACGGTGGACTCTATGTGGGTTAGACTGAGAAACGTCTTGAAGGATAAGAGCAGACAGAAAGTTCAATACTCTGTATGAACGATATACTCTTCTCAATGTTCCGGTAGATGAATTTCGCTCGGTTTGCCCTTAGAAGCTCGTATTCCGTCATGACTGTGGTCTACTGGTGTTGGTTGAAATATGCCCTGGTCTGCATTTTTAACGAATTTGTTCAGTGCATACAAAAAGTATATAGGAATTGTTGTCATAAAGCAAAAGAAACTTCTTTGTTATCGTTTATGTGACAATATGTAGTTCTGCGTTATTGCCGTCAGAGAACCAAACAAAACGTGCCTGTTAGACAACCGTTTTCACAATTGCATTATAAAGTTGAATATGAGGTCGACGGAGTCTGCTGTATTCTCATGTCAATTTTGTATGCCACTTTAATGCTTCGTTTTTCGTTGACTTTCATCAACGTTTTCGTGACTCTTCACGACCAAATACATTAGAACTGCGTGAATTCACCTTGATTTACAATAATACCATGGACAGTTTCTTCATCTGAAAACCTTTCCCATCTATAATTATCACTAGCGCACCGAAGCGCTATTCCTATTTCGAAAAATTGACGAACATGGATAACTGCAATCAAGCGTTTATGTTTCATTCCGAGAAGTTTGCGTTCGGTATTTCAAATCTGTTTGAGAATATCTGTTGATGCTCAACCTTCTCCAATGCACCTAGAAGATTCATATTGGTGTTTTTATAGTGTATTGCATTCACATTCATTGTATTTATTCTTGTCTCTGTTGTCCAATGAATGCACATTACGTTATAGGAATAATTTGTTGAAAACAGCTACGCACCGGAGACGAACTCTCGATATCAGCTCCGCCGGAACCGTACTAGACCATTAGGCAGCGGATTATGCCAGGTGCGCAAACAAATCTGATACCATGTTTATTAGCTCACACCAAGACAAGTCGCTTTTGTTGTTTTCCAACTGCTTCTATTCGCCATCTGACCTTCGTAACTACTTCGCTTATTCTGCATGAAGATTATGTTCTTAATCTGTGACCAAAGCTTTTATTCCATGTCGTGTTTGTACTGCAACCGTGCTGCGCTACAGTTTCGTTTGCATCCTTACCGAGTGGACCGCTTTTGACCACACTGCCCTGGTTTACCGGATAACCTTCTGTACTGTTCTTATTGGTTGTTCAAGTGGCTGTAGTTCATAAACTTATATATATATTATTATGCAGCAACACGAAATTAAGATGAAAACACGGCTAATAAACTTTGATTCGTTCCACTGCCGGTAGCCATGTACAACCCATACTGTCAGTGAAGCTAGTGAGATTAAGTTTCTACTTCAATGACAACCAAGTAACCGGAATAGGTTCTACCGATACTTACCGATGTGTTGTTAAGACCTAACAAATCTTCGACGTAGGTATTTAATAAACTTTGCTCCTCATCCCAAACTCGTACGTTTACACATGACGGGAGGATATAGGGACAAAATGACTTACTGCAATGAAGTAAACTTGAAAATTTAATCACAATGACGCACTCACTTAGTCAAATATGCTAACTTTTCACTCTACTCAAATCAACCCACACCTAAAGCATGTTACCGATGTAAGTGAACGATATTATCTGAATAATACCACTATTTTTGGTGCTGTGGTCACCGGGTAAGCATAACCAATTTCATTTCAACTTACCTGCCAGCTGTGAGTGCAGCACGCACAAAATCACAATCAACAAAATAAAGGATTTCATTTTTTTTCTCCTACACGACATATTCTAGCGTTTTTATAGTGCTTGCAGTTGCAGAACGTGTAATTCTATTGGTTTAAAACCAGTGTCATGTTATTTTTATGTTCTTTGTACTAATCACTCTCCGTCTTCATTTATTGGCAGGCCCGAATCCTTAACTTCCAAAGAAAGATATCCACTATTCATGTTTACGGAGAACCAGTACCACCTACTACTAGATGGTGGCATAGCTACAAGGATTATTCCAGTGCATTTGGAGACGGAGGTAGTACATTGTCTTCTACTCCACATTATTCTATATTTGTACATTACTAAACCGCATCAGATGCAATAGTTGCAAATTTGACCCTCACATGCTGCTGTATGGGTCCGTTTTCTTGACTTGCACGGTTATTCATGGTGTTGTCATGCATACGTGTTTTACCAGGAAAAAATGTGAGAATACTTGCACGGCTTCCTAATAAACTGGGGGTAATTCAAACGTTTTTAGCAACCAGAATGGGAACTTATGGTGGAAACAACAAACCCTGAGGAGTAGCCTTATTCTTACTTTTTTACAAATACTGAATATGTTTACTGCTATAATTTGTGCTCAAAAACACATTCCCGAAAATTGGAGCTGCCTGAAGCAATTATATAATAGAAGTTTTCATGCCACTTGCAGAAATCAATATTTCCGTTCTGTTATTATTGAGTGCAACGCATTATTGATGTGTGAACAGTCGATACTTGGTATTTTATTCGGAGGAACGTATGGTGCCCCAATAGACGAGGTGGTTTGCCTAATTTGGTGAACACTAATCGACTTCAGCGGTGTTGTCTCCAAAAGGGTTCATGTACTCCACATTTAAATTTCGAATTTGTGTAGGCGTGAAAATCAAAATCAGGTTCCAGCATATCGGATACATGGAGAATACTGCTTTTTATCAGCGATGACGGATAAACATTCGATGCAGTCAGATACTGTGATCTTTATTTTCCCTGAAGAGGTTTATTTTGATGCTCAGTAAAAAGTCAAAGCTATTCAGCTTGAACAATGCCGCTGATCAGGTTCAGCTTTAATTGATAGCTAAGATTCACGATGGAACTCGTGTTATTATCTCTAAGTCATCAACAGTGTTTGGAACACTGTTCAGATATTATGTGAGTTATTCGGTAATAATCGTCGAAATGGTTTTTCATCCAGACCTAAAACTTTGATCCCATATGGAAGAAAATATAGTTTTCAGCTAGACATGAATAGGTCATCCGCGCCTGGAGTGTTCGGCCTGACGCCACTTGAATGAAGAGGATACAGAAAATCAACGAAGTGAAATAAAACCGTCTGGTAGTCAGTAACATTTATTTACCAGTGAGTATTTGCGTGCACAGACATAATTTCCTTTTCACTCGACTATAAGTATTCATCTGTGTAAGGTGTCATCTATTACAGAGAAAAAGTCTTACTCAATCATAACTTTTGGGTTTTAGAAGAGTGGTCGTTTAAGTGAACGAAGAATGGATGGATGCACGAGCAATTATGCCTTTTTCGGGTAGGCGCTGGGATTCCACATGGATCAGCACAATGAACAGATTATACTGGAATGGGGACAGTCGTAGTTATCCTACAAATTTTCAATTCCACTCAGCTTTATTCATTCTTTCCATCACCTTTTGATATTCTATTTTCCTCCTGACTGAAACAATTTAAGATTTGGACAACAAATTGGTTAGACCGTCATCCACTCAGATGTTTCACTCGCAACTGGCCGCCAAGATATACAACCGGGTTTCCTGACGGTCAATGGTTTTGTCCCAAGTCCCGTCCGCTCTTTTCCCAGAAGACGCAATACCGAATGATCCAGTATTCGACTTCACAAGGCAAACAGTAATCATCATCATCTGCAATGATATTTCAAATACCAAGCCGAACAACGGAAGATGTAATCGAAACGATCACCCAGCGGACTTCCCATTGTCAAACCTAACCCAATTATTCAAGAAACGAGCATGCAAATAAATTGGTATCTTCTGCCATTTGAATATTTACCAAGTCAAGCATAAGTAGATACTGACACATTTTCTTTTTTTAAATTCTATCGAACCGTAAAACATACCAAATGAAATCACAGGTTTTGAATGTCGGTTGGATACATGTTCTACCCTAACTGGTATCGTTTTGTAAATACAGTGCTTCTAACACTGTTCCGTGAACTGTGATATTGGTGGATACCATGGGGCTAGAATGCAGTAAATGATTATAACAACACGATGCTTTGTGTAATTGGCCCGCCGTTTTCCTGCCCATGGTCGGATAGAAAGTGGGATTTGTAAAAGAAGAGGCATCTCTTTGAAGGCCAGCGGCCCATCTCTAGATGTCAACCTAATGGAGCAAAGATAAACGAGAACGTCTAATGACGTTATGAGAACCAAGACTTACGGGAATATGTTAGGTGTTCCAGCTCAACCTTCAAATCGTTCTCCGCACAAACTAAATTCTGATTTGGAGTAACTCCTCTGACAGTAAATGCATATGTTCAACAGGATGCAGTTCACCAGTGAATTGACAGTGATATTTTGAATATTTGAAGAATATCGAATAATATCAAATTTTTCAGCCTGTTCCATCTCAGACAACTCATAAATTCTCACATCCTTTGTGGCTTTAACAGGATTTTCCTTAAACTTTCACAGTCAACTGTTACGGTACCTGAAGTTCTTTATTAGGCCATGATGAAATTATCCACTGTGCCCTGCTGTATGTGCTACAGAACGACTGGTATTCGCTGGTTCAGATAATCGACTATTATCGTATCTGGTACACTATTGCCCTGCTGTTCTTCCAGGTGGTAAAACCAATTTACTCCACGTAACCGGATATTGGCCGAAATGTCGATCAAGAGCTGAGTCAACGTCGTCTGTGGCCTACGCTAAAACACAAATGATTGCCACATTCACATGTTGACTATCGTGCTGGGTTTCCTGAAGTTGACCAATTCGTACTTGATATCCAGTTATGTAATATAAATTCAACCAAAATATTGTTTCTACTTACTCATACTTTTTGATTCAATTGGTTTTATATACGTAGATATATTATTTTTCGAAAGTGCAATGAATATCACATTTCTTGACCAAAAGCATCTAAAACTGGCATATAAATGGAAGGGTAATTCGCCTTCCTTTATACTTCTATTTAGCGTTATCGCTACCACCAACACATTAGGTTGCGGTGTCTGGTGTCAACCTTGATTCCTATGCAGAACTTATTCCATGTTACTTTTCAGATAATGTGCAAGACCGAAACGGATTGCCTTTTCGAAAGACATGTTTGCTCATTTTTTGGCAGAGTAAATGGATACACACCAAGCCAACCGCAAGCCGATCTTCGTTTTGAATTGGGAGGAAAATAGATGCCTGCCTTTTCATTCATTCAAATTGTAAAAGCGCACACCAGGATTATCATACTCTAATAGTTTCATGATTCAGAGACGGCAATGGCTTTGGCGAAACCACAGAAAGTAAACTTACAGAAGTGACTCCTGTTCTTCCTGACTGTGTTTCCTAAACCTCTTTGGACTCTGCCGATTTCTGAGCCCAGGTTCATGGATGCATTATGATGCCCTACAAAATGATCTTTTAAGTAAAATGACTGTTATGTTTCCGATTTCGTCGTTGTCGAGTCCTTCGCTTTTATTCTCAACGTTTGTTTAACTAACTAAATATGATGAAACAGTCACAGCAATCACTTCACATCACGAGGGCTTCAGCTGATGATTTCATAATGAGATTATAGTTCACACATTATTATTCGTTATACGTTATGATGGCCCATTCACTACTGTTATCACCAAACTGACAACTCCGTACTACTCCCAAGGTGCACAATCGTTTTGCAATGTTTGCTAAGTTTCCAGCCTAGCTCATAGGTAGCACAGAGCACAATCAAACAGGTGACTAGGGCGAATTCGAATGACAATGAAAAGTGCTTTCATCCATCGGCAGGCCATACAGTATTGCGCACTGGAAGGCAGATGTCAGCAGGACCATCTGTTCACATTCCACTGGACTCGCTAATATTGCTTCCCACTTTTGTGAACCATGTGTATCTACCAGTTTGCGGGTCGATCGGCAAAGGTTGTGTGGAGCTTCTGTTGCTATGTGGAAATCTGCTCTTTGGGAGAAGATCTTTGTGTGGAGGAACTAAATCCAACCCATGGGGTTGTATGGTTTGCCCCTGAGCTTTGTGTCGGAGTATCGTCTAACTAATCGTGTAAGTGGTCATAGGTGTCGTGTTCAGCAAGTCCATGTTGCCAGTATTTCCATCGGAGCTGACTGAAGTGCTTGATCCGCTGGTTCAGTCCGATAAACAGTTCGTAAACAACTGGTTCTCTTTTGCCTGGAACCTTTCCTGAAGTATTTGTCGGATGACGTAATGTGAAATATTTCATGTAATAAGTTTCTACCACGCTGAGTTCACTGTCTGGTTGCTTGTGATTTAACTTCCGTTTTGTCGAACTGTTGGTCCTCCTCTGGTAGCATAGAAACATTGGTAATTTTTTGCTCCTAGACAAGCATTTAGTAAGTGATACACCCTTTGGAAAGTTTTGATTAAGGATGATTCCCTAATCAAGTGAAAAACCAATTGATGATCATGCCCAATTCTTATCAACTTGGGTATTTTTTGACCTTAAGCGGTATCAACAAATCTTTTCCACTGACTGTTTGACTGTGGATGGTATGTTGGATTTTGTAATCGTGCAACGCCATTCATCAGACAAAGTTTGGAAAATTCCGTGGATGTAAATTGAGCACCATTATCTGGAACGAGTTTCTCTGGGAAACCTTATCTGCGGAATATGCCCTTGAGTTTTCAAATCATAGACTGGCTAGTTACTCGTTGTATGGTGCAGACTTCTGAACACTTCGATGTAGAATCCAACATAAGTAGGGGGTAAACGCTGCTAAACAATCCAGCAAAACTAACATGCGCGTGATTCATTCGTTTTTGTGTCAACTGCTAT